GTGGGAACCAGTGATGCTAACTTTCTGGTTCGTCTACAACAATAAGTCATCCCTGCAGAGCTCCATTGTCAGATATCTATTGTGTGTTTGCAAACAACTGTCATGGTTTTTGCAATGGCAACGAGGCCTGCATGTCCATGTGTAGATACAGTACAAGGCGTATTAGTCAGTGATGCTCTCTTGATGATCGGCACCACCCATTAATTTAAGATTCACACGCTTGCAAAGCTCCTCTGAAGTGCACCTCGAGGGTCCTAAAGGCTGCACAGAGTCAGGAATGATGATGATGGTGGAATGTATGATTGAGGAGGTTGTTTCCCCGGCGCTGTCTTGTGATTGGTTGACGGCGATAAGATGGCCGCCCCTATGTGACACGGGATTGGAATAGACTTGACTTGTGATTGGCGGAGGGGGCCCAGCGCGTGTTTGCCTGGATACAAACTGGACGCGGGGACTCATCTCTCTCTCGCGTGTCAAACATAAAGCGTGTCCGAAGGAAGGGGCACCCGGTTGCCATAGCAACAACCAATCCCAAGCAGCACAGGCAGTGGATCATAAGTGATTATCCAAACTCCATCCAGTAATTCTTTAAGTGTAATCGAATTACAGACACGCACGCCAATATACAGAAAGATGATGAGCCGGTGACCAGAGAGAACAGCTGCTTTTAATGGAGCTCTGGGAAACTTTTATTCTCACTCATATTTCATGAGCACAGGAGCAACTTCCCTTCAATTATTAATACTTCTGGTGGACACGTTGATACCGTGCAGTCTGTTCAACCCAGAATCGTTATAGTCACACAATATGCAGAACCACAGAGACTCAGGTGCAGATGCACGTCTTTTTAAGGTCAATTAAAAAAAGGCTGGGTCTTCACTGAGGTTCCAGGCGGTCGTACACACAGAGGGTCAGACCAAAGAGAAATCAGCGAATAAATCCAGACAGGAAGTAGGCAAAATCCAAAACCAAAGAGAATTTGCACTGAATAATTTCTTGATTGTGATGAGCCCACAACGTAGAACAAGGCGGCAATCTCCAGTTCTAAAAAAGTGAAGCCAATGCTTCATGTCTTAAAGCTGCATTCTCTCTAGTGTCCACCAGGGGGCGACTCCTCTGGTTGTCTAGAAGTCTATGAGAAAATGACTCTACTTCTCTCTTGATTTATTACCTCAGTAAACATTGTAAACATGAGTTTATGGTCTCAATCTCTAGTTTCAAGTCTTCTTCAATACAGCACGATGTTCATTTAGTACATTATGGTCCATTTAGAGTCAAACAGACCATAAAGCAGGGGATGCTTTAGGGCGGGGCTACACGGTCATTGACAGTTCTTTAACACGGCGTTGTCCGGTCTGGTAGTTGTCCTTGTTTTAGTCTTAAAACTTGAACCCTTTCATAGTGTGTTTTTACTTCATGAAAGTTAATTGTATGTAAATGTGTTATTCAGCATTCACTTGTATTTAGCTTCACCCTCTCGCGTCACTTCTGGTTGCAAAAAAACAAATGGCGATTGCAAAAATGCCGAATTTAATGCTTCAATACAGCAGCCCGCAAACCAGCGTGAATATGTCCATTTATATGCAGTCTATGGGATGAACGAAGACAGTCTGGTGGAGGAACAGGAAAAACAAGGGAGTCTATAAAACAGGGTTGACTGACGACAAAATCAGGGGGTGAGGTGGATAATCAAGGAGGCAGGAAACGCAAAAGGAACAGACAGGACGGGAGATGTTTTCAAGACTCATGAAATCAGGAATGTGTCTCACGCAGAGACATAAAAGGAGAGACGTCTTAGTGAGACAGCTGATGAATAACTCTGTGATCCCTTTTGTCAACAACCTGTAATCTTTTGCTTCTTCAGGTGCTCCCAACAGGTGAACGCCACCCAGGAGGAGCACAACGTCATCACCGTCACGCTGTTCAGCCCCCCGTTCGGCAAGACGGAGGTGGAGAGTCGCGTGAACGTGAGCCTGGGACAGTACAGCACTCTGGAGTGTGTGGCGACGGTGGAGGGAGAGCAGGCCTACACGCTGTTTTCTATCAGCGGTGAGTATATACGAAGAAAGTGGGATGCGGACCACACAAACACGGTTAAATAGGGGCCACGTGGTATTGAAGGGCGGCGCCTGTCAGTCTCGTGTTTTGTTGCTGATTTGATGTAATTCCTCTGCTCGTCCTCACCTTCAGATTGGAGTTAAACCAGAGTTCAACAGCACAAGAGAAGACACACACACATGAAAATCTTGTTTCATTTACTGGAGTATTTTGTTAAAAAAAAAAAGCCTGCTTTGTGCACTGAAAAAACAAAGTTATCTTAGCAGTTCTGTAAACCGCTACTTAATCCTCAAGTCAAAATATTTACTACCAGTATGATTTGGGGGAGGATTAACCTGTCGGTGTGGTCCAAGTACAGGTTGGTCTTCTTTAATCTGTTAAGTAAACATTGGGAAAGGAGAGATACCTCGCCCGTGATTGGCCACGATAAGATGTTGTCCATTACAGATGGGAATTAGTCCATAGTTTACTTTATGACTCCAAATCCGCTCTGTTGTAACGGCTTCCCCATCTGCCGTGTGACGTCCTCAATGTGGCGTGAGCACAGGAACTGAAAGGACAGTAGAGTCGTCCCTGCATGAGCCTGGAGACCCGGGTTTATGGAGGGCATGGGTGGGGGGTTAGAGTGGGTTCAGCGGGTATGTGGGCGAGCATTATGAGGGAGGAGAGCGTTCGTGGCCAGGCAGCACAAGCCTTTTTGTCTTTTGGAGTGTGCGCCCAGGATTTTGTGCGCTTCACTGAGCAACAGCAGACCAGGCGGAGGCGCCGATAGTGTGGAGCGCAGTGGGAGTCCTGGCGGCGCTGGGATCCGTTCTGGGGGCTGTGGGAGGCTCGGGAGGTGTCACACCGGGCTTTTGAAACCACTGACAGGTTTACAGGGGATTAGTTCCTGCAGACGCTGCATTCTCAGATTTGAAGTGAAGAGAAAGCTTCTTATCTCTAAAGAGCTTATTACACCCCACTGTACAGAGGAGCAAAACAATGAGGCATCACGAACAGCCAGACGCAGAGGAACAGGACACTGGTCACGTATAATTACTCGCAGACACAGCTGGAAAAGTAACAGGAAAAAACGGTAAAATACCGTATGATGGAAACGGATGTAAAAAATTCAACCAAATAAAATGCAGAATTTGTAAACGCAGGAGAAAAAAAAGCAGAGACAGTATGTTTACACATGTAATTGGATTAGTTGGCTGTGATTTGACCAAAGTGAGCTTCACTGTGACTTAGCCCTCTCTGGCTTACCGTAATGCCCCTCTGCAATGTCATTTAGAGTGTAAACATGGCAAACCAGTGAAAGATTGACTCCAATTCCACCAACACTGGGCAATATTATATTATTATTTAATTATCGTGATTTGAAACAAGATATCGTCTTAGATTTTGGATGGCGTAATAAGACTAAAGTGTTTTTTCGCCGCCCACAGACGCCATAATCGACATGGTCAATGTTTATTTAGTGTGTTAACATTACTGTTTGATGATCCGTGATGGTTCAGCTGTTCCAAGCGGTTGTTTTTTAATGGTGTACTGGAGTTGAAGGGTTAAGCTTAACTGCTTTGACCGACTGAAGCGTCACAAACAAACATTTCCCCAAAATAAACAAGCCTTCTACAAAAAGTTCAAGTCAGTGGGGAAATAAACAAATTCATCGAACCGAACTAAGATGTAATGTGGATATAATGACTAAGCAGGTTCAAGTATTGTGCATTGTGCAAATATTTTTACCAAAGCACCAATAGTCAACCATACGATATCAAAACGATAGTGAGGTATTCACTCAAAAATGTTGTGATATTTGATATTTAAGTCCCGGTTACAAACTGTCAGAATTGAAGAAGCTACGATATTCCTGCATTGTTGGTCGGTGAAAACGAGTCTCGTGAGACACGTTTGTTGTTTGTGCGGTAATATCTTCCCTCGCGTGAGTCACGTAACACATGTGTGGGCGCGACGGTTTGTCTTTGTGCATTGAAGTCATTCACCTGAAGCCTCGAGAAGAAATGCTGTAAACGTGTCAGAGGGAACTGACATTCCAGCCTCATGTATCTGCCAAAAATGGGTCAAAACTGTCAATCACAATCATTTTGGATATAGAAAATCAAATATGTGATCTGAAGATCCGCATTTATGCTTTCGAGTAAGTCTGACAATGATAACAACAGATGTTGCAATCGGCAGGAGGAGTGACATTATAACATACGGAGGTTCCATTGAGTTCCATTATGGTTCCTTCAAGCTCCATTCTGTATAAATGACGGATAAAGTACATGTTATTGTTATCATGATGTGTTCAAATGTAATCTTGTAAAAATAGATATTACAGATGAACTATGAGCGGTTTCACTTCCTCACACTAGCTCGAAGCAACTTATTATACATCGTATATCTTTTAAATCATTTAAATCGTGTATTTTTATTCAAATAACCACTAAAGATGACTATAACAAATGTCAAGGATATAGTTGATAATAAATATTTTTGGTCATTAGCTATAGGCTTATTAAAAATATTTATATTTATATAATCGTGATCCCTGCTCTCCATATGGCCCAGCACTTACTGCTCCTGCAGTCTAACGTGATCATTTCTGTCTCTCTGCAGAGAGAACTGTCCCCCACGATCTCTTCACCCCTCTGCTAATTGGCTCCGTGTCAGCAGCAGGCGTCCTCTGTCTCGTCCTCATCATGCTGTTCTACAAGTACATGCAGGTAAGACAGCTCTGCACTCCTCCCCGCCTGGCACGCTCTCTTCCAGTGACAATTTGAGTGAAGTCGAGCAAAAGTTCAAAGTGTGTTGAAAACCCATCAGCAACAATAATTTGTCACAGTAATTGATGTGTCTGTCTTTTGTCTGCATTGGTGCCAGAAACCCAAGTACCAGATCCAGTGGAAAGTTATCGAGGGCATCCATGGAAACAACTATGTCTACATTGACCCCACCCAGCTGCCGTACGATCACCAGTGGGAGTTCCCGCGAAACAACTTGCGTTTTGGTGAGCGGCACCGCAACTCCCTTTTATCCTTAATGATCTGAGGCGTGTTTGTGCTGCGTCTAGGCCTCCATGATTCTATTAATCTGTCACTTCTGATGATGTTTTTTACGTCTAGCGTTGTAAATCAACGTCGGAGCCGAGTGATGTGGAGCTGTGTCAGTAATAGCCTCGGTAATAAAGCCTAACAGTGCAGACGGCATGACATCACCGCCGCCCGCCTCGGGCGACTTCATGCGGATTGACAAACAGTCTGTTTTCTGTGTATGTGGACATGGCGTTTTAGCCACGCGTGGTCACTAACCAGTTTCACAGCTCCTTCGTGATGAAGCCCCACTCCCTCACTGCAAACATGATATTGTTGACATATTCTGGGTGTTGTTTTAAAGAAACCTCCTCAAACAGGATCCTGCGTGTCCTGGTGCCTACATACACAGCCTGGGGGCTCAAACCGGTGTTGTCCTGGGAACACTGGCATGGGGCCAGCATGCTGGAGGTAAACGGGATGGAGGAATAACAGTGTTTTGTGTGTGTCTGTCTTCTCGTCTTCAGGGAAGACGCTGGGATCTGGTGCGTTTGGGAAAGTGGTGGAGGCCACCGCGTACGGACTCTCCGAAGCAGATTCAGTCGTGACGGTGGCGGTGAAGATGCTTAAAAGTGAGTGCTGGCAACACACTGTGGGAGACCTTTATTTGTCCCAGAAGGATTTTGTCGCTGTTTGTTTTGACAATTGTTTGTCTGAGGTGGGAACCTGAAAGCATCAAAGTCAAATTCAAAGAGCAGGGGGAGGCCGGAGAGCACGCTCCACTGTTGTTCTACAGTAGAGTCGCTACTTAATAAATCTACCATAAACTGGTTTACAATTAAAAAGTATTTAATCCTACTGAAGCTAATACAATTACAGAATGAAGTACACTACTAACAGAATATATAATATATGATCCGCGTGGAAAAGCTATTCACTCGCGACTCAGCCTGGAAACACAGATGTTTCCAGGCTCAGAGCCGAGAAGAAAGAGAGTGAATTCCTTTCCAGCACTTCCTCTTACAGTTTGAAATCCCCCCCCTTTTGTCCATCTTAATTCCTATTGGCTAATTTTGGTTGCCTCCTCCTGGCGTCAGGCTTCCGAAAACCCTCGCGCGGGTACAACCTGCAAATGTCTGTCTAGAAGTCTGACATTCCCTTGGCTATTCTTCACAGTTTAATACATACAATGACTGTCTTTTATGGCTTAACACTTCTATGATAAACATTCTATATAAAGATAAGGATTTGCAACTTTTGGCAAAAACCTTCACAAGTTTCACAAGCAAATATAAAGGTGCTACAAATTCTAAGATACACTTCTAAAACACTTTTACAATTAGGAATCTTCTAATTATGTATTCCAAAACACTTCTATTATAACTTCTTAAAACACACTTCTAATCCCAAATTTCCTACAAGCTCACCTGCTCACATACCTTTAGCATGCACTGGGCTGTAGCTTTTGTAAATATATTCTGCTGTGATTGCAGTCTGCCTTTTAATTCTTGGACAATTTCATGTTTTTCTTGGAGGCTAAATTTAGCTCAGTGATTGGTGTCAAAATGCTGACGTGAATTCTATCTTTAATCACCGACGCGCATCATAACACAGAAGACAGACCCGTTTTTCTCCTCGAAGCACAAACATGTATTCGGTTTCCCATCTTAAATTACATTTTCTTCCCTCTGCATCAATTTCTCTCTTCGTGGACATTTTGGGATTATTTGTCGATCTTTTTCAACTCAATCACTTGTTGGAAAACTGCTTTACGGGCTGTCCACCTGTTTTTAAAAAAAAAAAAAAGGTAATAATTAACCATATTGTTACCAAGTGACTGTTAGGACGACAAGTAATCAATGTCCAGCCACGGTGATAATACTTCACAACATGCTATCTCATAATTTCAACTTTCTATCTGATAATTTTGACCATGGGGATATTTTTATTTTCTTTCCAAAATAAAAAAAAAAAAATTTTTTTTTGCTGGTGGATTCACGGGCCACATAAAATGACGTGGCGGGCCGGATTCGGCCCACGGGCCTTGAGTTTGACACGTGTGATGTAAAGAATAGGTCTGGCGATATTCTTATATGCTTTTTGTATGGTCAACAAATCTGCTATGCAGTTGTAGTGTGGCCTTAGGGGGGTGGGGGAATTAAAGGGAACCAACAACGCCACCTGGGGACTTACACCCCGGGAAATATAAACTTAAAGACCCCAATATATTGTTTTAGAATGTATTAAGGGCACACAGATTCATTACTGATATTTGGACAGAGAGATGCGTGTTGTAAAATAAACATATTTATTAAAGGATTCAATGAAAATCATTAAAAACAGCCAAAACATGCAAAGCAAAAGCAAAACAAGAAACAGAGGCAAAACAAGCAGACAAAATGGAGGCAGCAAAACAGCAGCAGGTGAACCTACAAATGATAAACGGAGATTAAAAGGGCACACCATGCTGCAAAATAATACAAGTTAAGATTGTGACTACTTACCACCTCAAACAAGGGGTAAGTAGTCAGACGGCAACAAGAGGAGGAATATGTGTGAAACTCACCACCAGAACAGGGGCCAAGAAGGAGTGAGGCCAGGACCACGGGTGCCTTATAAATGCTGGCACTAATTGGGGGGAGGAGCCTAGCCTGAGGGCTGCGTTCACAACACACTTCCTTCTCTGAGGAGCGTTCCCCACTACACAGTCAATTCAATAATGAGAGTATACTTACAAGTTCAACACATCAATGAGCCCGCTGTTGCACTGGGTGAAATGTTCTTTCATTACAATGAACACAAACATTGTAGTTTAGTTTGGCTCAATCCCACATACACTGTCTGGCTACCACAAATACTCAGAAATGTGGATTCATTTGTCGCTGAAAATAGTCCCCAACAAATACACTATTTCCTCCTGTTTGGTTGCTCAAACCTACAGTGGCATACGCCTTTTTTTGGTTAAACTACTGCATATTTCTGAGCTGTTTTTAAAGATTTACTTCTTTGGTCGGAACCAATGGGCTTGATGCTGAAATACCCATGTAGGGTAGGGGAGTCAGAAAGAATTGATTGAGAGATGGACTAACACACACAGTCTTTTCATGGGAATTTGTTGTCAATATGGAGAGAAAAAAGAACTAGAAAATTCCTAAAGAAATTTTGACAGTGTGGCTTCTACTGCC